AAAAGAGCAACTTCCCAGTCTCTGCAGTCTTGATCATCTCAGATCCATCTGACATTTAAAAGAACTGAAAAGATGGCTAAAATAAAAGTACTGGTGAACTCGAAATGCTACATAAGCAACACGAGTAACTCATCTTCAATAAAAAGCAAATTCTCTTTACCTAAATACACAAGGTCTCAGGGCTGAACAAGCTCAAAGTGTGAAAAGCAAGACAGCACTCCTCCATAGGCCAACACAACTGAGTCACTAAAGGTAAAAGTGACAACATGACCACCTTATTCTTCATCTTGAAAGAAAATATAACTTGTAACCTACGAGTAACAGAATAAACACACCCAGTACTTCAAAACAAACTAGCAATAAAAATAAGCAAGAAAAAGTAGTATCTGTGAAGTTCACTGCCCGGAAACAAGCCAGTCAGTCATGCTAAACTGACCAAAACCTAAGAGAGCCAAATTAGCACCATAAAGTAATTCTACAGTACAATAAGTAATAAAATTCCTACAAAAGACTGCACGTAATTTGAGAAAGCAACTGGCAGAGCAATACTACATTTTTAGACCAAATTATTCTTGACAGACACTTAAGAGGCCTACCAATTTTTCATTAGACCGAATACAGTAACTAATGACCTAACAGACTTAGATTCTGTGACTCTTTCCTCAGTCAAGTTAGAACCTAAAAACCTGTGGTCTCTACCATGTCATCCTCAAATGTCTGTATGTTAATTTGTATATATTATGTTACAATGAAGACATACAAAAGGAGATAAAGAATAATACAATACTCACCCCCCCTGGTTAAGAAAGAAACCCTATAACCAGAGTTGAATTCCCTTTGTGAACGCTACCCAAAGGTGTGCTTCAGGGAGGTGTAACCACAGCTACGTCTGATATTTAAACTAGCCATGCAGTGCTAATACTTTAGGTGCAGAATCATTTTTCTTTGTATGTCTGCATCAACAGCAGCATACTGCAGGCAACCTTCCACACCATGGCGAGATCCATTTATGTTGATTTCTATAGCTCCAACCTATTTCCACTGATATATGCCACCTTTTTAACTAATTACAATTTATTTATCTATTCTCCAACTTCTGGACATTTAGGTAACTTCCTAGTTTGTGCTATTATAAACACCACTGCTATAACATTTTCTGTACAAGCATCCCGGTGTCCTATGGAAAACGTTCTCTGAAGTACACATGCAGACGGGGACTCTGTCCTCGGCATGTGCAGACATAGCCTCCACAGACGCAGGCCAGCTGGCTCCACATACCCTCCAGCAGCACATGGACAGGTGTAAGCTTCACTGTAGCTTCACGTCCAGTCGGAAGCTTGTAATCATCAGACTGCGATTTTTTTCAATGAGAGGCACTGAAAAGACATCTTATGGGTTATAATTTGCTTTCCCCTGATTACTATGGAGAGCAAGAATCTTTCTCGTGTTTATGAAGCTGCTGCGTGTTTTATTCTGTAAATTGCCTGATTTTCTCTTTTGCCTATTTGTGTATTTGGTTATTTGCCTTTTCCTTATTGAAAAGGCCAAATAAGCAAATGACTTAGTTATACGAGTTTTTTTTAATGTACACAGAATGACCAAACTAGAAAGGGTAAAACCCAAAAATGCCTTTCAGAAGAGCTGATGTTCACAGTACCATCTACCAATTTATAACTCAACAGAGACGAATTCAGTGACGGGTAAGCACACTGCAGCTGAAAGCTGTACCACCTGGAAATAATACACATTAGTTCACAGGCCCCATATGACTTCCAGATATTGACTTTTGTTAATATCTGGAAATGATGAGGACTCTAAACTTGGGAATTTGAACATTATCTAGATAGAGTTTGTCTTGAAAACATACTTCCTTCATCAGAACAATTAACGGTAATGCAGTGTCTTACAATTATCTTACAAGATTCCTGATGATAACTTTCCTATCTAGAATTACTAAAGCTTTGACTGGAAACTGTTTAGAAACTCCATCATGTTTGAAGATTTCTTTTCAGCCAATACATATGTGAAAAAGGGACTGGGCCACCAAAATGCACAGTAACATTCTGTAGAACTTTTAATAACAAACAAGGGAGAACCACACCCAGAAAGTGGCAATTTGCTCTCACTCATCATGTAACATTTACTGAGCATTTTCTCTGTCCTGGACTCGACACTCTCCAGAAGTTTACAGGAAATGGGAGACAGACAGACAAAGCAACCAGTGAACAAAGTGTGGTACAAGCTTTACAGCTTCCTCTCCACACTTAGTTCTAAAAGGCTGCTGTTGTCTTAAGACATTTTGTGGAAACACTTCTGGAAGCATCTTTGAAAAATACAATCTGCACTGTGACTATTCCAGACGAATTCTTTGGAAAACAGGAGCTTGTGGGTGGCTCCGCCCTGCAGATGCAGCCACACATCTACTCCACAGAGAGGTGGGACAATACCATCACCCTGATTTGCCCACAGAGGTGAGCTGCTTTTCCTGCAGAGCTCACAGCTGCTTCTGAAGTCAACTGCACAAAGAACCCAGAAACTTCTCACAAGCCATACTCTCACTGATGACATCCTACTGGTGACACCTGGGGAAGATGCTGGGCGAGGATAAACCAATAGTAACTTCAAGAAACAGGAACCGTATAGAGCCCAAACTCCAAGAGGCATTTCTGTAACCCTCCACCCTGTGCCTGGATGAGACAACCTTGCTGAGCCACTGTTGTCCCACACAGGCCAAATACTCCCCGGCCCCTGACAGTGAAATCCACTATGTCAGTTACCTCGGCTTGGTAAAAGTAGAGGTGGTCTCGTCATAGACACTGCACCCCAACTGCAAATCCAGGGAGAGCGTCATCCTGAGAACCAAGTGACCATTTAGGAATGTGGGTAGCTCCCGCCCTGGAGGCCTCTCTCCTCACTCCAGGTGAAGAAACACCTTAAACTCTGGGCCTTCCACCATCCCCTTCAATAACACCTCCAGCAGGTCCGACCTGAGGAGCCACTAGCAAAGATGTGAAAAGGCCTTTCATGGCCTACTCAACAAGGACTGGTAAAATCATAGGCAGCATGGGCAGTGAGGAAAAAAAATAACCTGGCCTCCATAAGAAGTACAAAAAAAGGGAGGGAAACTTTAAAGGCTGGAGAAATCCACAAATCTAATATAAAAAATAGTAATTGCAGTTGCCTAAGTGTTACCAAGTGTCAAGGCGAATGGAAACGCCAGTGTCACGTGGCAGCAGTGGAGAAACAGCCACAGAAAGGAGACTTTGGGCCCTCCACATGCAGCTCAGTGCCAGGACAGCACTCAGGGTCCCCCGCAATCCAAGGTCCAGGCACAGCACAAATCCTGCCCACACCAGGCCCTGGGAGCACAAGCCTGGGTGACCAGTGGCCAGAGGGGAAGGAAATGGACTGAGGCAGTGACGATGCGGGACGCTCCTGACATGTGTCATCCCATGGCTGAATGACTAAGGAGAAATACACAGAGAAGAAACAGACAGGACCCTGCCGGGGGCATGCCACCAGCTGACTGCACTGAACTGCCCCAGCCTTGGCTGACACAGCTCACCCTGCACACAGTTCTGTCAAGTGGCCATTTCCAGCAGACACCTGAGAGGTTGACGGGAATGGGGAAAATTACCCGTGAGGTATGGCTGTCAAGATTGAAAAGCTACAACCACTACAGTAAACAGAATCCAGCCAGCCTGCTAGCAGCATCAACCACCTTGAGGGGTCTCCAAGGTCAGCTGGTGTGTCTGGCCACCATATGCTGGAAGTTCCTAGATTTGGAGAGTAACAAACAGGGTCTTCATTAAAAAGGTAGATGAACTAGCAACAGCCTGAAACCATATGGCTGGGGAGGCTATGCCACTGAAAGAACTCACAGAGGCCGAGTCGCAACAATGTCCCATGTACAACCCTATGAGTGTTTGCCACAAAAGAGATGGACATGTGGCCCAATGGCAGAATCGAGTCTGATCCACCACTGACCTACAGGGCCCACAGGGATTTCAGGTGGAAGCAGAAGGAATACACCATGAGCCAGCTCTGCATTCTGGGAAAATGCAACATGTCATGGTAAACCCAGGGTGGCTAGTGGTTTGAAAGGGCAGCCATGGCCTGGGAGACAAAAGGCTGAACAGGAGCCAGTGGAGCAGGAGTGCTAGAAATACTGGAGCAAGAGGTGACAGGCAACAGGGCACATCCCAGAGGAAGGCTCAATACAGAGGCAGGAAGATTGCACACACACATCCCACAGCACACACTCCACACCACACCACACACACCAGTCACACACACCCATCACACACATCACACACGCCACACCACACACACGTTACACACACCTGTCGCACACATCACACACACCATGCCACACACACCAGTCACACACCGGTCACACCACACACCACTCACATCACACACCACACACACAACACACCCACCACATACACACCACACAGCACGTGCACCATACGTACACACCACACACACACCACACCACACACAATCATACACCACACACCACACAGACCACCATAAACACACCACACATACCACACACACAACACACACATCATACACCACACACACACAATCATACACCACACACACACCACACACTGCACCACACACATACCACACCCCACACCATACACACACCACACACACTGCACACACACCACACACACCACACGCACATCTCTCACACCACACACACACCATACGCAGACCACTTGCACACTGTGCACACCACACACACACCACACACCATACACACATCGCACACCACACACATCACACCACACATATCACACACACGCCACACACACCACACACCATACACCACACACTACACATCACACACCACACACACACCAGACACCACACACACACCACACACACACCACACACACATCACACACACCACACACACACACCCCACATACCACAGACCACATACACCACACACACACCAGCTGACTGCACTAACTGCCCCAGCCTTGGCTGACAGAGCCCACACACCCACATCACACACCACACACCCACATCACACACCACACACACACCACACATCACACACCACAGATCACACACACACCACACACACCACACCCCACACACCATACACAACACACCAGCTGACTGCACCAACTGCTCCAGCCTTGACAGAGCCCACAAACACACATCACCCACCTAACACACACACCACACACACCCCACACACACTCCAACACACACACACCCCCACATATGCAGCCCACACACCCCCACACGCCACACCCACACACACACCACACACACACCACACACGCCCACACATATCCCCCCACACACCTTCCACACACACACATACCCCATACCCTCCACATATATATACATACCACAAATATCCCCCAACATACACATACCACACACACACATCCCCCTCATACAGCCACACACACCAAGCACACCACACCCACATCTCCCCACACACACAAAATACACACATCCCAATCCCCCATAGTCCCACATATACAGACACACCACAGTCACACACATCACATGACACCCACCTCCCCTACCATATACACACACACACCACACACATTCCCTCACACTCACACCATAAACATGCCCCAAACACATACACACCATACACACCAGACACCCCAAAAAACACCCACATACACATACACCACACACAAAATACATCCCAACCCCCCAACCCCCCCCACATCCACACATCCACACCCACACCATACACACACACATCCAGGCCATATGTGCCTCTGACATGTAAAAGGAAAAAGCAAAGGTGAGTGCAATAAACAAGGGAGGGCCAAGCTGAGGTGGCCACACTCATACCCTTGACTCTGTACAGCAGGAAGTAAAGCCGCCTGCTGGGACACCCACCTGCAGAGGAAGAGCAGAGCAGGGAGGCCGTGAGGGTCACACCCGAGGTCTGCCTCCACCAGTATGGAAATGAGTGGGAGATAAGTAAGGACATAGAGGAGGATCCCAAGGTGCTGGAAACCAGGAGAAATGACAAGAGTCCGTGCACACAGGAAAGCTTCTTCCCAAACCTCACTAAGCAGCCCCAGCCGTAGGAACAGAGAAGGAGGATGGCTGGGCTGGTCCAAGGTTGAAAGCATTAGGAAATGTAATGGACACTGGGGCTGGGTGAACTAGTGGGAGGGGAGGCCATGGAGGCAATGGTGTCAGCAGGAGGAAGGAGGAGGAGCAGGAGGTCTTGCAGTTTAGAGGGAACAATGGTAGGAAAAGGAGGCAGGGAGGAGAGGAGGTACTGCCTGAGTGCTAGAGCAGTGTTTACCAGACAGTCCACCTGATGACCATGTGCAGGGTCTGGCCCAAGGCAGACTATTGCCACAGTGAAGGGCACAGCAAATCTTGGCAGCTGAGAAAGGCATGTGACCTTGAAATTAGATTGTTGAATGAATCACCCCTAAACATGTTCAAGTCATTCAAGATAGCAGGAAATGGGGAGGGGGACACCAACAAGCCAGTAGTCAGTGAACAAGGGAAATGCCTGGGTGGTCAGAAAAGTGCAGTGATGAGAAAGGCTGGATGTGAAGAGAGCCAACTGGTTGCTTGAATTTTCAAGGAGGAAAAATTTTTGTATGAGATTGGAAGAGAAAGAGCCTTTTAAAGAGCATTCTGGGACATTTCATTAAAAATAAAAATGGGCAGCTAGAAGAAACACTTCCCCTAAGAACTGGAATAAGACAGAGATATCCACTCTTACCGCACCTATTCAACACAGAACTGAAGGCCAGGTGTGGTGGCTCGCATTCATAGTCCCAGCACTTTTGGAAGAGCCAAGGAAGGCAGATCACTTGAGTTCAGGAGTTCGAGACCACCCTGCACAACATGGCGAAACCCTGTCTCTACAAAAAAATACAGAAATCAGTCAGGTGTGATGGCACACACCTGTAGTCCCAGCTACTCAGGATGCTCAGGCAGGAGAATCGCTTGAGATCAGGAGGTCGAGGCTGCAGGGAGTCGTGGTCATGCTACTGCACCATAGCCTGGGTAAAAGAGTGAGATCCTGTCTCAAAAAAAAAAAGGTTCAAGCTGAGAGCCAATCCTCAAGAACACAATCCTATTTACAACAGCCACACACAAAAAAATAACCTAGGAATACATCTAACCAAGGAGGTGAAAGAGCACTTCAAGAAGAACTACGAAACACTGCTGAAAGAAGTATCATAGATGGCACAACTGGAAAAACATTCCATGTTCATAGACTGGAAGAATGAATATCATGAAAATGTCCATACTGCCCAAAGCAATCCACAGATTCAATGCTATTGCTATTCAATTGCCAACATCATTTTTCATAGAATTAGAATAAACTCTTCTAAAATTCTTATAGAACCAAAAAAGAGCCCAAATAGCCAAAGCAACCCTAAGAAAAAAGAACAAAGCCAGAGCCATCACATTGCCCATCTTCAAACTATACTACCAGGCTACACTAACTAAAACAGCATGACATTGGTACAAAAATAAACACATAGACCAATGAAACAGAATACAGAACCCAGAAATTAAAGCTGCACACCTACAGCCAATTGATCTTTGACAAAATTGACAAAAATAAGCAATGAAGAAAGGACTCCCTGTTCAATAAATGGTGCTGGGAAAAATGGCTAACCATATGCATACAAATGAAACTGGACCCCTACCTCTAACCACAGATAAAAATTAACTCAAGATGGATTAAGAACTTAAATGTAAGACCTCAAACTATAAAAGTACTAGAACAAAATCTAGGAAATAGTCTTCTGGACATCGGGCTAGGCAAAGAATTTGACTAAGTCCTCAAAAGCAATTGCAACAAAACCAAAAATTGACAGTTGGGACCTAATTAAACTAAAGAACTTCTCCATAGCAAAAGAAACTATCAACAGAGTAAACAGACAACCTACAGAATGGGAGAAAATATTCACAAACTATGGATCCAACAAAAGTCTAATATCCAGAATCTATAGGGAAGTTAAGTTAAACAAATCAACAAGAAAAAAACACATAACCTCATTAAAAAGCGGGCAAAGAGCAAGAACAGACACTTCTTAAAAGAAGACATATAAGCAGCCAACAAAAAAAGAACAAATGCCCAACATCACTAGTCATCAGGGAAATGCAAATCAAAACCACAATGAGATACCATCTCACACCAATCAGAAAGGCTCTTATTAGAAAGTCAAAAAACAACATGTTGGCAAAACTATGGAAAAAAAGGAACTCTTATACACTGTTGGTGGGAATGTAAATTAATTCAGCACCTATGGAAAGCAGTTTGGAGATTTCTCAAAGAACTAAAAATAGACCTAGCATTCAACCCAGCAATCCCGTTACTTGGTAAATAGCCAAAGGAAAATAAAATTGTTCCACCAAAAAGACACCTGCCCTTATACGTTTATCACAACACTGCTCACAATAGCAAAGATAAGTGGTGATTCATGCCTGAAACCCCAGCACTTTGGGAGGCTGGGGTGAAACGATCACTTGAGTCCAGGAGTTCAAGACTAGCCTGGGCAAGAAAGTGAGACCGCTATCACTTGCAAAAAAAAAAAAATTTAAATTAGCCAGGTGTTATGTCACATGCCTGTAATCCCAGGTACCCAGGTACTTGGGAGGCTGAGGCAGAAGGACTGCTTGAGCCCAGGAGTTTCAGACTGCAGTGAGATAAGACAGCACCACTGCATTCCAGTGTGGATGGAACACCCAGACCCTGTCTCAAAAACAAAACTAAAGAAAACAAAAATAGCAAAGGCATACAATCAACTGAGGTGTCCATCAATAGTGGACTGGATAAAGAAAATGTGGTACATATAAGTCATGGAATACTACACAGGCAGAAAAAAAAAGAACAACACCATGTCCTTTGCAGCAACATTTATTCTAAATGAATTAATCCAGAAGTAGAAAACCAAATATTGCATGTTCTCACTTGTAAGTGGGAGCTAAACCCTTGGTATACATGGACATAAAGATGGGAACAAGAGACACTGAAGACTCCAAAAGGAGAGAGGGAGGGAGAGGAACAAGGACTGAAAAACCTCCTATTGGGTACTATGTTTACTATCTGAGTGACAGATTCAATAGAAGTCCAAACCTCGGCATCATGCGATATACTCTTGTAACAAACCTACACATGTACCCCGTGAATTTAAAATTAAAATTTTTTTTTTAAATGAGCAACTAGGAAAAAAATAACCCCATCTCTGGGTCTAAGGTACTAACTGCTGAAAATTAGTGACCTTCGATCACAAAAGTGGCAGTGAAAGTGTAGTTCTCCAGAGAGCGAGAAGCTATACTGAAGGCAGCGGGCGGCCAGGAAGAAAAGAGGCTCATTTATAGCAGGAGAAAGGAGGTCCTGGGGCTCCAGAGGACTCAAGGGTGGGCGTTAGTGAAGTGGGGGAGGTGAAAAGAGGAGAGAACAGTGCCTTGGAGATGAGAGTGAGAGGGAACAAGCCATGAGCATGTTGGAAGGCAGCCAAAGATCCCAGCGGGAAGGCCTCTCTCAGGCTGGTGCATGCTGAGATCCCGAGTCAGGATAGAGGCTAAACACGCGGCTTTGCTCAGTGGCCAAATGGAAGACTGCCAAGAAAGTCAGTGAATGGCTCAGAAGGCAATTCTCCCCATTTCCCACTGAAATCAACAAGAGCTCAGCAGGACCCAAAGGCACAAAGCCCTAGGGACTGGAACCAGAGAGGCTAGAAGTGACCCAGCCCTCACACACAGCTTCCCCTTGGAAGTTGAAGGGGGGACTTTAGCTGGCCCATAAATATGGACCTTGTACAGACCACAGAAACAAAAGAGGCAATGGATTAGTATCCAGAACACACAACTACAGCACATCACTAAGAAAAATGCAGCCCAACAGGAAAGTGGGCACAAGACACAGACGGGTGACTCAAAGGAAAAACTGGAATGGTACAAACATGTGAAGAGTCTCAATCTCACTGGCAATCTAAATCTGAAGGAAGGGAGAGAAGGACAAAGACACACAGATGATAGGCGGATGATAAAAATACTCTTTAAGGCCAGGTGCAGTGGCTCACGCCGTAATCCCAGCACTCTGGGAGGCCGAGGTAGGTGGATCACTTGAGCTTACGAGTTTGAGACCAGCCTGGGCAACAAGATGAGACCCTGTCTCTACAAAAAATACAAAAAAAAGTCCAGGCACAGTGGTTCACGCCTGTAATCCCAGCACTTTGGGAGGCCGAGGCGGGCGGATCACAAGGTTGGGTGACCAAGACCATCCCGGCTAACATGATGAAGCCCCATCTCTACTAAAAATACAAAAAATTAGCCAGGCATGGTGGCGGGCACCTGTAGTCCCAGCTACTCGGGAGGCTGAGGCAGGAGAATGGTGGGAACCCAGGAGGCGGAGCTTGCAGTGAGCGAGATCGTGCCATTGGATTCCAGCCTGGATGACAGAGTGAGACTGCGTCTC